AAAGCAAGGTATTTTTGAACACCCGTTTGGTGAACAACAATTTCTGCTGCTAATTGTATTCCTTGACCAATAGTAATTCCCCAGCAGCCATGTCTAATTGTAATGTCCAAACTAAAACTATAACGAAAACATAATAAAGATAGCACTGTCACTAGGGTTATCGCATACTCAAAAGTTTGGAGTAGTTGACCATCTGATGCTGCCTTCCATACTGATGAGAATCCTTCAGATAACTTGAAACCTGCAGTGCATATAACTGTGAGCGATAATATTATTACTGCATACTGAAATATATCTGTCCAGATTACTGTTTTCAGACCACCTATAGCCGTGTAGAAGATGCATACAGCACTTAATACAACAGCTGCTAAATGAACATTTACACCACTAGCTGCAATTATAATGTTAATTTTTGACAAAATTTCGGTAATTGCGCTAGATACCAGTTGCAAAAGTCAATGCTGGTGTATAAACATATATCGGATAGAACAGAATTTCGGTCACCATGTAAAAAATGAAACTTAAAATTCTCGTTTTCCTATCAAATCTTCGTTCTAAATATTCGTAAGTGTTGGTTAGTTGTAGCTTGAAGAATACCGGCAAATATATAAAAACACCAAGAAGACCCATTACCATGTAAGCTACAGGAAGTAACCATGCACTAGCTCCGTAGCGATGGACCTCTGCTGGCAGTCCCAAGATTAATATGCCGGAAAAATGGCTAAAAAGTGTTATTATTTGGGTATTTTCATAGTTAACTGGTGTTGTATCTTACCTTACGGCTATCGACACTGCTATAGTAGATACTCTCTGGCGGTTGCCTGCCTTGTCCCAAAACAACCAAAACGTATCCCAATTAAAGTACTAATTGCTAATGTTACAATGAATATAGAACAGACGAAGATGCATTAAGGGTCATTTTAGAGTACGCTCAATTCTTTACCATGATATTGCGCTTAAAGGAAGTTAGAAACTATCTATAAAACATAAGCTGCAACGCAGTAGGTACACTCAGAAACCTTGGGTTTTAATTGTAACGAAAGATAAGCGTTTTTAATAATACCCCTTCAATTAAATACAAAAATATACAAAATAACCTTTAAACAGATAAAAACTAAAAGTGAATGTAGAAAAAAGCATGCGAGAATTTCGAGAAAAAAATCTACTTTCGAAGGACGATTTCCATTACAGCTATTAACTTACATTTATTACAAAATTGAATTTTTAGAAAAAAATTATGAACCCGCGAAAATTCAAATTACCTTTCCTCGATTATTTTACTATAATACATACACCACATATCTGTACCCAAAACACTTGCCGCATATTATCTGCTATATCCTGCCTTCGCAAATAGACATTTTTTAAAGCAAATGACAAGAGAGAAAAACAAAGCATATGAAATAAACACAGCAGGCACATGTTAAATACGGTCAAAATCAAATAACAATCGAGAATAAATGTTCAAATTCAAGCTGTAAGAAAACTACATTAAAGACAAAAAACTGAATTCCGACCACGCGTTTTTCGTATGTACATTAATATAAACTTAATTATTTTTGATAACTTTATTGAATACACACTACAATACTTCTTACTTTAAGTGAACAAAGCGCTGAAGACATTGTTTTAAGGCAATATTTGGCAAAATTCGAACAATTATACAATCTTTACAACATTTTCTTGTTACCGAATAACGTAGCAATGAACAATCAATTTTTTTATAGTCAAGGCATTTCCCACCGGCTCCATTTCCTCACACTTCTTGTACTGCTTAATAAGAAGCGGTAGCAAATAATGCGCAATATTTATATCCATTCCGATGAAATTCCTCATTATGTCACACAAACCCATCGAATTAATCCCGAGATTCTTACAAGTCTCTTCAGTATCACCCAAAACAGGCTTCCAATTCTCTTGACAAGCCCTACATCTACACTCAGCAAGCCCATAACTGTGAAACAACTGCTGTCTGACCGACTTGGCGAAAGCTTCGTATCTAATTCTAAAAACCAAACCTAGATTCTGAACCCCAAGACGCACAACTTACCCATAGCGATTGACAAAGCACTGCTCCCCTCTTCTAATGGTGTTGATAGCTTGGAGGACCATCGTGCTTCCGTGGAACGTCTTCATCACGTTGGCGCAGCACGAATGAGTAAATAAAGAGAAAAACGAATACACCCCGAGACCAAAATTCGTGGTTTCGCTAAAATTGGAATTGTGAGTGTACTCGTAGATCTTGACAGCGTTGCTGCTAGTGATTTCCAGGTGTAGAAACATCAATTCCTTGAATTTCCGTTTAGCGTCTTCTCCGAAGCAGTCGAAGAAGTTGGTTTGGCGTGACAACAACTCAAACACGATTGCTGTTTGGATAGATATAGCTGTTGCGGTTTTCAGTCGTTGAACTTCTTTGTATCTGTCGGACTGGCAGCAGTCGTTGTCGTCAAGACCATTAATGTAAACTCAATAGTAATCGTCTAAAGCTAGAAGGGTAAGCTTGAGGGCTAGCAATAAGGTGTTGTTTTTTGCTAAGTCACACTGAGATAGGGCGGGTGGGCGGGGCTTATATTTTACCTTTTTCCTTAACGCACGTAGTCGTCTTTTCAGAGCAAGAAACTCAAAACATGTTTAAAAAGGTAAATTTTTGTGGACAAATATGGATCTTGCTATTAGGCCCCGCCCCTCGATCTGACAACCAATAAAAAATTCAACACAATTGAGAATTGAGATCGGGGCAGGTATGGGTGGAGTCTAATCTTTGGCGTTATTTTTCTTAATATACATAGTATTCTTCGAACAATACGATACTCAAAAACATGTTTTTATTTTCTCTTAGAGAAATAAGGATTTTGCAGTTAAGCTCCGCCCTCTTGGCTAACGACGAATAAAAAAAATCATCACATTGAGACAGGGCGGGTGGGCGGGGCTTATATTTTATCTTTTTTCTTAATATGCGTGGTGGTCCTGTCAAAACAAGAAACTTAAAACATGTTTAAAATGGTAAATTCATCTAGACAAATATGGATCTTGCAATAAAGCCCCGCCCCTCGATCTAACAACGAATGAAAAATTCATCACAAATGAGAATTGAGGTCGTAGTGGGTATGGGTGAGGCCTAATCTTCGGCTTTATTTTTTTCTTATTATACATAGTATTCTTTAAAAAACACGATACTCAAAAACATGTTTTTATTTTCTCGTAGAGAAATAAGGATTTTGCAGTTAAGCTCCGCCCTCTTGGTTCACGACTAATTAAAAAAATCATCACAACTGATGTAGGGTGTGTGGGCGGGGCTACATTTTGCTTTTTTTTTCTTAATATGTGTAGACTTATTTCGGCAACAAGAACCTTAAAACATGTCTAAAATGGTAAATTTTTGTTATTTCTGTGTTTTTCTAAATCAAAATATGATACTAGAAAACAAAAATGCGAAAAATCTATAATTTTATTCGTTATCGTATTTATTACAAAGTGGATTCAAGATTTTGTTTGTTCAAAAATGTGAGAAACTTCTTCCTATCGCTGCATTCTTCTTGATTTCTTCTTCTAGTTTCTTCGAATAGATGAACAAAACTGAACAACAGGAATTATCGAGTCTCATTCAGTCAAAAACTTTTCTTTTGACATATAATTGATTATTAAATGAAAAATAACAAAAGAAGATGGAGAAGCAGATGCGCTAATAGGCAAAAATAGACAACAACGTAATAGAACAGAATGATGAGCGTAGTATAAAGAATTTGGAGAGTACTTCATTCTTCTTCAGACGCTCGTGCCATTTATGTGTTTTTCTACATGAAGACATGATACTGAAAAACAAAAATGAAGGAAAAATATAGTTTTATTCCTTATCGTATTGTAATTAATTTATTTCCTAGTAACTCGAATTTACACGGCTAATTACATAGCGATTATGTACAAAATAATTCCGGAACAACTTCCATATTTCCTTATACAAATTTTCCATTTTAAACATATTTTAAGTTTCATGTTGTGAAAAGAAGTCTGCATATATTAAAACAAAAAGGTAAAATATTAACCCCATCCACCCATCTCCATTGTGATGATTTTTTTTATTCATAGAAACTTAAAACACGTTTTAAATGGTAAATTTTTCTAAGGAAATATGGATTTTGGAATTAGGCTCCTCCCCTAGGTCTACCACCGAATGAAAACTTCATTATTATTTAAATCAGGGCAAGTATGGGTGGGACTTAATCTTTGGTTTTAATTTCTTCCTAATAAAACATGTCTTATATGGTAATTTCTTGTAGAAAAATAATAAGAATTTTGAAATTAAATTCTGCTCATTTGGCTCTCGACGATTAAAAAAAAAAATCGTCACACTAAGATAGGGCGGGTGGGCGGGGCTTATATTTTACCTTTTTTTTTTAATGTACGTAGTCGTCTTTTCAGACCAAGACACTCAAAACATGTTTAAAAAGGTAAATTTTTGTAAACAAATATGTATCTTGCTATTAAGCCCCGCCCCTAGATCTGACAACCAATGAAAAATTCAACAGAATTGAGAATTGAGATCGGAGCAGGTATGGGTGGAGTCTAATCTTTGGCTTTATTTTTCTTAATATACGTAGTATTCTTTGAACAATACGAAACTCAAAAACATGATTTTATTTTCTCTTAGAGAAATAAGGATTTTGCAGTTAAGCTTCGCCCTCTTGGCTAACGACTATTAAAAAAATCATCACAATTGAGGTAGGGTGGGTGGGCGGATCTACATTTTACTTTTTTTTTCTTAATATGTGTAGATTTATTTTGACATATAATTGATTATTAAATGAAAAATAACAAAAGAAGATGGAGAATGTTCGAATTCAAGCTGTAAGAAAATTACATTAAAGACAAAAAAGTGAATTCCGACCACGTGTTTTTCGTGAATGTACAATAATATAAACTTAATTATTTTTGATAACTTTATTGAACACACACTACAATACCTCTTACTTTAAGTGAACAAAGCGCTGAAGACATTGTTTTAAGGCAATATTTGGCAAAAATCGAACAAATACACGATCTTTACAACATTTTTTTGTTACCGAATATAACGTAGCAATGAACAATCAATTTTTTTATAGTCAAGGCATTTCCCACCGGCTCCATTTCCTCACACTTCTTGTACTGCTTAATAAGAAGCGGTAGCAAATAATGCGCAATATTTATATCCATTCCGATGAAATTCCTCATTATATCACACAAACCCATCGAATTAATCCCGAGATTCTTACAAATCTCTTCAGTATCGCCCAAAACGGGCTTCCAATTCTCTTGACAAGCCCTACATCTACACTCAGCAAGCCCATAACTGTGAAACAATTGCTGTCTTACCGACTTGGCGAAAGCTTCGTACCTAATTCTAAAAACCAAACCTAGATTCTCAACCCCAGAACGCACAACTTACCCATAGCGATTGACAAAGCACTGGTCCCCTCTTCTAATGGTGTTGATAGCCCGGAGGACCATCGTGCTTCCGTGGAACGTCTTCATCACGTTGGCGCAGCACGAATGGGTAAATAGAGAGAAAAACGAATACACCCCTAGACCAAAATTCGTGGTTTCGCTAAAATTGGAATTGTGGGTGTACTCGTAGATCTTGACAGCGTTGCTGCTGGTGATTTCCAGGTGTAGAAACATCAACTCCTTGAATTTCCGTTTAGCGTCTTCTCCGAAGCAGTTGAAGAAGTTGGTTTGGCGTGACAACAATTCAAACACGATTGCTGTCTGGATAGCTTTATGGAGGACTTCTGTTCGGATAGATCTAGCTGTTGCGGTTTTCAGTCGTTGCACTTCTTTGTATCTGTCGGACTGGTAGCAGTCGTTATCGTCAAGACCATTAATGTAAGCTCGATAGTAATCGTCCAAAGCTAGAAGGGTAATCTTGAGGGCTAGCAATAAGGTATTGTTTTTTGCTAAGTCGCAGAGGCTTGCTAAAATCGAACACTCGTACTTGTGGTAAGTGGCATAAGCTTTGACTTTGCAAAAGTCGCTACAGTACAGAGCTACGGTGCAATGATCACAGGGTATAGTGTTGTAGCAAAGTTCTAAGCAATAGTAGCAATGACTTAGCTTGTCGGTGGTTAGCACACATGCATAGGGTTGTTCTACGGATATTATTTCACCAATGTTTATATCTCTGGTGGCCACAACATGGCGCCCGAACTCTTGGTTGACTTTGATCCTAACACAGTTATTAGCACTTTGAATGGAAGGGTTTTCCTGGAAATGGACAACTTCCGGAATGGGTTCGTAGTAACCCCTTTGTGAAAAAACAGTCTTCTTGGCGTCGTTTTGTATTTCAATGATTTCTTCCTTTAGTTCTTCGGTGGAGTCGTTGGCAAGTGCTCTTTCCGTGTCCTGCAAACAACGAAATCAAAATGTTTCCTTGAAAATTGTATCCCAGTTGTACCTCCAAACATTTCCTAGGCATTTTAAGCTTCAAAAAACACACCGATCTGTTACCATAAGCCAAAGCTAGCAAATCTTTGCTCTCAGCTGTGGCCACACAACGACTGTAACCTTCCAACGCCGTCATAAATTTACCATTATCCAGATTCTCAGTGGCTGTTTCTTCAAAAGCAATCGCCACGAAATCATCCTTACAATGATTCGTGTATTTCACAAAAATGTGGAAAAACTTGCAGACGTCTTTATGGACAAAGTTGACTTTCTTCGGGCTGGTTTTCCGAGTTTCGAACTCGTTGAGATAAGAATCGGAGTCAAAGTTTGGGTCGGAGGTGGATAAGCACTGGAATAATAGCTTTGAAAGATCATTGACGTCCATGCTTTGGTCAGTGGCCATTGTAATTTGCTAAAAATTACACAAAGTGTTAAAGCGAATTGCAACTATCGTAATTATGTAACTTACCGTGCGTTCACCATTCAGTTATCACAAGCACTCACATATGATAAGGTAACACTAATGGTTGATAATTCGGTCGCAAAAGCGCAATGTTGCTTAAATTGTGGACGCTAACAGAAAAATAAAGCTTCATGGAGTTTTCATATGGTGCGACGTCGTTTTGGCGCCAAGTGTTATTGATTTTCTCTTGTACTTACAAAAAATGGTCACCCTTGAAGGTTGATTCTTTATCTTATCATTGGGGGTAAACTCACCTTGGAAAAAACGAAGTCGGGTTTTAAATAAATTATGCGTTGTGATGAAAAATCGTTTATTATTTTTGTTTTATAGGAGTGATGGCAAAAAACAAGTCTACGAATAATAATATTATTTACGTGCGTATAAAAGTAATTTTGGAATTCATTTAGGCGGTTTTTTATTGAACAAAAATTGACATTTGCAGGGTGCTATAATAGCGCGATTGCAGCTGCAGTGCGTAATAAATCCTATTATGCAACTGTGTGTGTATTCGGATGATTTGAACAATAATGGGTTTTTTTCAATTTTTCGATTTGCAATTTCTCATATTTTCATTTTTTTTGTTTCTTTGAGTTTGAGTTTTCACTTCGTTACGTTTTTTATTTTCATTATTTTTTTTAATTTCCGGTTTTTCATTGTACTGATTTTATAATCTTCCTTTTTTTGAATCTGAAAATTTTCAAATTTTTAACGTTTTTTTTAAGAGTATATCAACTGCGAAAATCAGTCTTATCTTTGCAAATACTAGTTAGATAGATGTTTATAGATGACTGATCTGGAAATAATTTACTTACCACGAAGATATAGAAGATGTAGAATTTTTTTTTAGTACTGGATCTCCAAATGAAAATTTTGGCGATTTTTTAAATAATCAGTATCAAATTTCAAAGCAAGTCTTTCACTTTTTGTGTCAACAGTGTTTAGGTAGATACATCATGGCATGTACGGGCTCTAACAAAATACAGTTTTCAAGATTTACAAAATTTTGACGAATTTTTGAAAAATTAAATAAAAATGTCGTCTAACTGTGGCACATTTTTTCACACTGATCTTGTTTAGAAAGTCCAAAAGTGTTACTTTTTAGCTTTGACAACCTCAAGATCTCAACATACAAGAAATATACATCATTTCTTTACTTTTGCAATAAGAAAATTAGTTTTTCCTTTTATTAAAAATGTTTTTAATGTCTAATGAACTCAAAAATTCGATTACCTAAACAAGAAATCGATGATTATTTTACTTTTTTGGTTCCTAAATAAAGGGCTTTTGTTCAGAAAAATTTCATGAAACGGAGTTTTTCTTTTTGTTGTAGTCATCGGATTAAAGATGGGTGGGTGTGCGGGCGACTTTTATTTTTATTATAATGAAACATCTTTATGAAAGTTGAGTTTTTTAGATGACTAAACCAGAAATAATTTGCTTACGACGAAGATAGAGAAGAATGTAGAATTTTTTTTAGTACCCGATCTCCAACTGAAAATTTTGACGATTTTTGAGATAATCATTATCAAAATTTCAAAGCAGGTCTCTCATTTTTTGGTGTCAACGGTGTTTAGGTAAATACATTATGACATTTACGGTCCGCAACAAAAAACAATTTTCAAGATTTACAAAATTTTGAAGTATTTTTGAAGAATTAAAAAAAAATGACGCCAAACTGTGTCACACTTTTGCACACTGATCTTGTTCAGAAAGTCCAGAAGTGTTACCCATTGTTTTAGCTTCGACAACGTCAAGATCTCAACATACAAGAAAAGTTTAGTTTTTCCCCTTCAACATATAAGAAAATACATCACTTTTTTTGTAAAGAGATGAGTTTTTTCTTTATCAAAAATTTTTTTAATGTCTAGTGAACTCAAAAATTCTATTAACTATACAAGAAATCGATGATTATGTTACTTTCTTTTCCTAAATGAAGGGCTTTTGTTTAGAAAAATTTTCATGGAAAGAAGTTTTTTTTTCTGTTGTGGACATCGGATTAAAAGATGGGTGGGTGGGCGGGGAACTTTTATTTTTATTAAAATGAGGTATCTTTATGGAAGTTGCGTTTTATAGATGAATGATCTGAAAATAGTTTGCTTACACCGAAGATAAAGAAGATGTAGAATTTTTTTTTTAGTACATGATCTCTAACCAAAAATTTTGACGATTTTTGAGATAATCAATATCAAATTTCAAAATAGGTTTTTCATTCTGTAGTGTCAACAGTGTTTAGATAAATACGTTATGGCATTTACGGTTCGTAGCAACAAACAGTTTTTAAGATGAATAAAATTTTGTCTAACTTTTGAAAAATTAAATAAAAACAACGTCTAATTGTGTCATTTTTCCCCACTGATCTTGTTTAGAAAATCCAGAAGTGTTATTTTTTAGCTTCGACAACCTCGAGATCTCAATATACAAGAAAATATACACCATCTCTTTTTTTTTTTTGTAATGAGAAGATTAGCTTTTCCTTTTATGTCATTTTTTAATGCCTATTGAGCTCAAAAATTCAATTACCTATTCAAGAAATCAATGATTATGTTACTGTTTTTTTCCCAAATAAATAACTTTTGTTTAGGAAACTTCATGGAAACGAGTTTTTCTTTTTGTTGTACCCATCGGATTAAAAGATGGGTGGGTGGGCGGGGAACTTTTATTTTCAGTATAATATCTTTATGGAAGTTGAGTTTTATAGATGACTAATCTGGAAATAATTTGTTTACGACGAAGATAGAGAACATGTAAAAAATTTTCTTTAGTACTTGATCTCCAACTGAAAATTCTGACGTTTTTTGAGATAATCAATATCAAAATTTCAAAGCAGGTCTCTCATTTTTTGGTGTCAACAGTGTTTAGGTAAATACATTATGGCATTTACGGTCCGCAACAAAAAAAGTTTTCAAGATTTACAAAATTTTGACGAATTTTTGAAAAATTAAATAAAAATGACGCCTAACTGTGTCACATTTTTTCACACTGATCTTGTTCAAAAGTCCAGAAGTATTGCCCCTTTTTTTAGCTTCGACAACCTCAAGATCTCAACATACAAGAAAAATACATCACTTTTTTTTGTAATGAGATTAGTTTTTCCCTTTATCAAATATTTTTTTAATGTCTAATGAACTCAAAAATTGTATTAACTATACAAGAAACCAATGATTATGTTACTTTTTTTTTCCTAAATGAAGGGCTTTTGTTTAGAAAAATTTTTATGGAAAGGAGTTTTTCTTTTTGTTGTGGACATCGGATTATAAGATGGGTGGGTGGGCGGGGAACTTTTATTTTTATTATAATGAGGTATCTTTATGGAAGTTGAGTTCTTTAGATGACTGATCTGGAAATAATTTGCTTACGACGAAGATAGAAAAGGATGTAGAATTTTTTTTGTAGTTGATTTCTAACTGAAAATTTTGACGTTTTTTGAGATAATCAATATCAAAATTTCAAAGCAGGTCTTTCATTTTTTAGTGTCAACAATGTTTAGATAAATACGTTATGGGATTTACGGTTCGTAGCAACAAACAGTTTTTAAGATTAATAAAATTTTGACTAACTTTTGAAAAATTAAATAAAAATAACGTCTAATTGTGTCATTTTTCCCCACTGATCTTATTTAGAAAGTCCAGAAGTGTTATTTTTTAGGTTCGACAACCTCAAGATCTCAATATACAAGAAAATATACAGCATTTCCTTTTTTTGTAATGAGAAGATTAGTTTTTCCTTTTAAGTCAATTTTCTAATGCCTATTCAACTCAAAAATTCAATTATCTATTCAAGAAATCAATGATTATGTTACTGTTTTTTTCTCAAATAAAGGACTTTTGTTTAGGAAATTTCATGGAAACGAGTTTTTGTTTTTGTTGTGGACATCGGATTAAAAGATGGGTGGGTGGGCGGGCGACTTTTATTTTTATTATAAGGAAATATCTTTATGGAAGTTGAGTTCTTTAGATGACTGATCTTGAAATAATTTACTTACGACGAAGATAGAAAAGATGTATTTTTTTTTAGTACTTGATCTCCAACTGAAAATTTTGACGAATTTTGAGATAATCATTATCAAAATTTCAAAGCAGGTCTCTCATTTTTTGGTGTCAACAGTGTTTAGGTAAATACATTATGGCATGTACGGTCCGCAAAAAAAAAGTTTTCAAGATTTATAAAATTTTGAGGAATTTTTGAAACATTAAATAAAAATGGCGCCTAACTGTAGCACATTTTTTCACACTGTTCTTGTTTAGAAAGTCCAGAAGTGTTACCCACTTTTTTAGCTTCCACAACCTCAAGATCTCAACATATAAGAAAATACATCACTTTTTATTAGTTTTTCCCTTTATCAACAATTTTTTTAACGTCTAATGAACTCAAAAATTCTATTAACTATACAAGAAATCGATGATTATGTTCCTTTTTTTTCCTAAATGAAAGGCTTTTGTTTAGAAAAATTTTCATGAGAAGAAGTTTTTCTTTTCGTTGTGGACATCGGATTAAAAGATGGGTGGGTGGGCGGGGAACTTTTATGTTTAGTATAGTGAGATATCTTTATGAAAGTTGGGTTTTATAGATGACTGATCTGGAAATAGTTTGCTTACACCGAAGATAGAGAAGATGTAAAATTGTTTTCTAGTACTTGATCTCTAACCGAAAAGTTTGACGATGTTTGAGATAATCAATATCAAATTTCAAAATAGGTCTTTCATTCTTTAGTGTCAACAGTGTTTAGGTAAATACATTATGGTATTTACGGTCCGCAACAAAAAAAATTTTCAAGATTTACAAAATTTTGACGAATTTTTGAAACATTAAATAAAAATGTCGCCTAACTGTGGCACATTTTTTCACACTGATCTTATTTAGAAAGTCCAAAAGTGTTATTTATTAGATTTGGCAACCTCAAAATCTCAACATACAAGAAAAATACATCATTTCTTTTTTTTTTTTTTTGTAATGAGAAAATTAGTTTTTTCTTTTATTAAAAATGTTTGTAATGTCTAATTAACTCAAAAATTCGATTACCTGTACAAGAAATCGATGATTATGTTACTTTTTTTCCTAAATAACAGTTTTCAAGATTTACAAAATTTTGACAAATTTTTGAAACATTAAATAAAAATGTCGCCTAACAAAATCTCAACATACAAGAAAATACATCACTTTTTTTGTAATGAGATTAATTTTTCCCTGTATCAAAAATTTTTTTAACGTCTAATGAACTCAAAAATTCCATTACCTATACAAGAAATCAATGATTATGTTACTTTTTTTTCTAAATGAAGGGCTTTTGTTTAGAAAAATTTCATGGAATGGAGCTTTTCTTGTTGTTGTAGACATCAGATGAAAAGATGGGTGGGTGGGCGATTTTTCAAAGCTATAGTTTTTCAACTTTACAATTTTTCGAAGATACAATTTTTGACTTTTCCAATTTTTCGATTCGATTCGCTTTTTCTTCTTTCGATTTTTTCGATTCATTAATTTTTTCGATTTTTAAAGTTTTTTCTTAAAGAGTATATCAACTGCCAAAATCAGTCTTATCTTCGCAAATGCTAGCCCTCTGTTTTCTTCGAGGGTATACCAATTGCCAAAATTAATCTTTTCGTAGCAAGTACTAGGTTTTACCTCACTGAAGTTCCATGAACAGTAAACACATTTTTTTCTTATTGATTATAAATATTTTCCACATTTTTTAATGTTAGGGGTTAAACAAAAATCTCAGGGACATATTTGCATTTAAGTGAGCGATAAATAACCCTTATCAGGGTGCGGAAAGGAATTTCTACATACCATTAAATATGTGTAAGCTAATTAGCGTTATACGTATACTGTGTTAACAGGTGGTTATAGATATTAGTAATGTTTTTATTTTATTGGTAGCAGTAATTAATTGTTACATTTTTTTTTTATTATTTATATAATTACACCTTTATTTGTTCAGAAAAACTCCTGAAAACATTACATTTGGCTATAATTTATGTATTAAAACTGTAGCTTCGTGTTATGGTAATTTTCTTTAAATGTGTGTTTCGTTTTACAATATTTTAACACGTAGAGAGAATTAGAATTTTTTATCATAAAGTTCACAGAATACTAGAAAAAAAAAAAACATGGGGTCACACCGTCCCCGTTTTTGCTAAATTTTCTTAGTTAGTTTACAGAGACAGACATTTTTTATTATTATTTAAGTTTGACTTCACGACTTTAGTACAATAACAACACTGTAGTTGTGGTGTTGTATTTGAGCAAATGGTTTTAAATATAATATGTGAAAAGTAAAAAAATATGTGTATGCAACCAGTTATACACACAACTGGACGACATGAAAACAATCTGTGAACGGATGTTGATGATTTTGCTTTCTACTCAAAGTATTTTCTGAAATCGTCCCTTCTACCTATGTTTTATATAAAACCTGTCCTTGTGTTCTTTACTAAGTAGCTCTCTATCTAATTTAAGTGAGCAAAATTCCCTTTTTAAATAAAAACAGAGTTAAAATTACGAAAAAACTATTAATAAAATCAGACTCATTGCTGTTCAATCCAAAATAAAATGATTTAGAGTTGGCGTTGCCCGTCAAACTTTGGGTGGCAGGACTGTTCTCAGTGTGACGTAAGTGACACCGAAATTTCAAATCTTAGCCACTCCATTTTTTACAAAATAAATATTACTGAAAATAAAAGACAATCGTTTGACTAGATTTATTACTCTTCTTAGCACTTAAAACACACAATTTCGTAATACTTAGGGTGTCAGTTGCCATCACAAATACTTCAATAATAAGGTACATAGTAACCAGTATCAAATAAAATACTCTTCAAAGATAAATATAAATCCCTGAGTTAACATTAACAAACAAAACAAAAAACGAAAAAATCAAACTGTAAACTTTGGCTGACATTTCAACACTAAAGGCACCTCATCAATGTTCCACTTGGTCAAATAAATATACTTCATAGTATCACCCATATCTAAAACATCACAATTACACAGTATATCAATATTCTCCAACGACTGTGTATCTTTGAAAATCTTCCTCGCTATAAATCGCTTCAAATACAAAACGGTGGTCTTCGTAGGAACTCTAACAAAAATATTTTTCAGTTGCACGGGATTAATCATAGTACACTCTAGGCATAAATTAATCAGTTCCTCCTTCTCTTCGTCCTCTGGTTCGGGGGACTTGTCGGCAGTGTCGTCACAAATCAGCATCTCCTTCGGACACGGTATCCCTCTGAGTCGATAGAACTCCTGCTCTCGCTCGATTTCGCGCTCCTGCAGCCCCGGAACCAACTTATACACAATGTCTTGCATAGTTCGGTCAAAATTAATGTACTGACGGGGGTACGAGTGGTGGATCACTATATCACAAGTGGGGCAAGTTGTGTTGGCTTCCAGGTGCTTAATAAGGCAACTCTTACAAAAAGTATGAAGGCATTCCGTTATGGCAGTGGCGTCGATCAAATAGCCTTTACAGATATTGCACGTTATGTAAGGATTTAGAGTTTTTATTTTAATTTTTCGGTCCATTGTGCTGAAACGTGACATAACCTAAAAGTGTCAAAATGGGGTCAAGTGTATGTGATAAACGAAATGTTGTGACAGGCAGGGTGGCACCCTTAGTTGGTTTTATTGCCAACTGAAATCGTATTTCGTCGGATTAATACTTATTTGTTTATTATTTAAAGCTAGTAATAAGTATTAATCTGACGGTTTGTTAATCATACACCAGTTTTCTAGTATTCTAGTGTTTTCTGTGTCGAGTTGTAGTTATAGTTCAGTTTAACTAAGTCAGTAGTCCCCACCTTGTCCCTCAAAGTCGGTAAATCAGTCACCTGCTCCCACGCATTTAACTTGACGTTTTAGGAACAAGAAATGCTCCAGTTTAACAGTTCAAAGTTTATTTTTCGCCATTCGTCGTGATTTAGTAATTAAGAGCGCCCCATATCGTTACGACCACCAAAAATGGCGAACTTGTCCCAAAAACTAACAAGGTTGCTCAGAGGGCAACTTAACCTCAAACTGCAGCGTTTTAACAGCACCGGTTGTAAACTAATATACTGTGAACATGGAGACCCCGTGAAGGTAATCCGCAAAGAAACAGAAACCATTCCAGACCCAGCAAAAGATGAAGTTTTAATCAAAATGTTGGCAGCCCCTGTGAACCCCGCCGATATCAATACCATCCAAGGGAAGTACCCAGTGCGCCCCCCGTTACCCGCAGTGGCCGGCAACGAAGGCGTCGGCGAAGTAGTCAGTGTAGGCTCCGGAGTCACCGACTTCCAACAAGGCGACCGCGTCGTCCCCCTCGTCAGCGCCTTAGGAACCTGGCGAACCCACTGCATCCTCCCCAAAAACAACCTCTTAAAAGTCCCCAAAAAACTAGGTCTCGTTGAAGCCGCCACCCTGAGCGTGAACCCCTGCACCGCCTACCGCATGCTCCGGGACTTCGTCGACCTCAAACCCGGAGACACCGTCATCCAAAACGGCGCCAATTCAGCGTGTGGCCAAAACGTGATCCAAATCTGCAGAGCGTGGGGGCTGCGGAGCGTCAACGTAATCCGGGACCGGGCTGGAGTGAACGAGTTGCGCTGCTTTTTGAAGGACCTGGGGGCGACGCATGTTCTCACTGAGGAAGAGTTGCGGAAAACGCAGATTTTTAAGAACGGGGAACTGGATAAGCCAAAGTTGGCTTTGAATTGCGTCGGGGGGCAGAACGCGTTGGAGGTGATGCGGCACTTGCAGAAGGGGGGCACGATGGTAACGTATGGGGGCATGTCGCGGGAGCCGGTGACGGCGCCCACGTCGGCGCTCATTTTCAAGGATGTGAGGATCAGGGGGTTTTGGATGACGGAGTGGTCGAAGCAGAATGCGGATAGTATCGATAGGTTTGAGATGCTGGAGGAGCTGATTTCGATGATGACGAGTAATGAGCTGCAGGGGCCGGCGTTTAAGATGGTTAATTTTGAGCAGTATAAGGAGGCGTTGATGAATACGATGACGATTAAAGGGATGATTGGGAAGAAGTACATTCTCGAGTTTAGTTAATTTAAGTGGATTTTTCTTGTTTGTAGTTTGTAAGTTGTGTTAAGGTGAAAATTGTTAATAAAATAGTTGTTTTGTATGAAATGGGGTTATTATATATATGGAAAAATGATGTATTGATTGGGGGGAAAATTTAATTTATTGAAAAGATATGCAACTAACAATACATCATAGTGTATCGCTGGGGATCAAATATTTCGCTTTATTACCTTACTTCATTTCTAAGACAAAATAATACAATTGCGTTGTTTTTTTTAATAAATAAATAAATAATCAAGAAAATAAGTTATGTTTTATTCACACAAAACTAACCTGTGAAATTTAAGAGTGTTGCAGGTGCCGCATTATAGTAATGACAGACAAGTTCTGAGTAATTTGTCAGTTACACAATTTGAAAGAGGCGGAACATATCAGTGCCCACTTGGATGTTAGAATCATTTATCAAATCCCTCCTTAATACATCTTTTGCAAACATTATTAAAAGATATTTCAAGTAGCAGAAATATGCAGAAGCTACATAAGAACTTACTAATAATTTTGGACTACTTTTAATGTTATAATATTTAAATATCAGTTCTACCGACTGTAGACAATAAAATACATTTAAAAACTATAGTTTAATTCGATACAACTATGGTAGGAGGAAGAAATAAAGAAATTAAAATTTATTTTTATAAAAAAAACTTTTCCTACAATGATTTGACTCAATGTTTAAGCAAAAATCAGTATTCTTCTTCCTGGGATTGTAACAGTGATTAAATAATTGTAAGTCATTAACAACAAAAACAAAGAAAACGACAAGTACGACCACCACCAAAAAATATAAGTACCTACCTTCCTGAAAATGTTTGGATTCAGAGTAAGCTTTGATTCTTGTGTCCCATTTAACAGCAGTGTTTGATTATGTATAATAAAAAGTAAAATAAGCAACGAGGGATACTGTACATAATTTAATTTTGGCCACTATAAAGTAGCAGTCAAATGTAAATCAAAATGTTTTGAGAAATTAGGAACATTAATTTTGTACGAGAATTGATGATAAAACAACAAGATAGAATCATGTCGCTAAAGTTAGTTTTCTGAAAATCCTTCACTCATGAAGTCAGTGTATTCTTAATGAAATAAATTTCCCAAGGTCATAACAAGAAAAAGTCTAGAAATGCTAAATTGATGAGTTTTTAAGCAAGTCAAAATCAGGAAAGCTGTGTTTAAAAGATTGGTCTAAGTTAGTACTTATTCGACAGAACTTCCCTCACCCCTGGAATATTACAGTTCAATAGATCTAGCTTCTTCGAAAAATTTTACTCCTAAAATTTAAATTATGTGATTTTTTTATGATAATCTTTTTTAAGTTAAAATAAAATATATGTGTGGGCTGTGAAAGCATGGGCAAATAATCATGGTATGAGTACGTTTCAAGTATGTAAGTTTTTTTTATAAAAAATATGGTGATGAGTGATGACGTTATCAACATTTTACCAAGAACACGTGTATCAATTTGAGTAGGTGTATCCTTAAATTTTTCGGGAATTTTGGGGTAATCGTTCTTGATTTGATCAATAAAATAAATTGCACTGAATCGGCGGGCATCTTAGTACTGCAAAAGGTATATTAGGGCATACGTCGTTTATAAAGACCGGTTGATAAACGATAAATGTAAACGTATGCTATTTTATGGAATTTAAATAACATTTACAAAGCAACATTTTGAGGTGAGTCGGTGGGGACGATTCGACAAATTTTGATTAGCGTTTAACCATCTACAAAGTATTACTAAATGCATATGTAAATATATAAAATTTTACAACAATCGGCTCAGTAGTTTCGAAGATATCTCTCTGTAAATATGGACACAGACGATAGACGACGGAAACGGGAGATCCCGTTTTCCATATTCTAGGGATTATGAAACGTCGAGAAGACATAAAATTACTTAATTAAGCTCGGGAAGTGACATTTCAAGAGATGAAACTGAATTTAAAAAAAAAGTATAAAAAACGAAGCTGCTGACATTAATGAGAAATGTGTTTTTTATTTCCCGAGCGTAAACGAAAAAAGTATTGTGATCGAGTCCGTCGATCGACTCTCTACTTTTACATTTTTCGTCTGTCTGTCCGTCTGTCGGCCTTCTCGGATTTCTATTAGACAGATAATCTCCGAAAGGACTGGGTCGATTGTTGTCAAATTTTGTATCCATATTAGGAATATCATGTAGATGGTAAAAGCATAGATTAATATAGATGCGTCATACAGGCTGATTTTGCAAAACCACTCTTTTTGACATTGGAGTCCTCAACCGCCAAAGGCAAGCGCCAAATTTAAATAGTCGATGCCAATAAAAACCTTGCTTCACTATAAATTGTAATTCGTGTGACCCGAATGAAGAAAGTGAAGGAAACAGTAATCAGCTTGTAATATTCTAGTAAATCTAGTGTCAATTTGTCGAAAGTAAAACGCGTCGTTAAAAATATTATGACATTTCTTCTAGTTAATTTTATTCCAAGTTGGAAACAAACACTGCTGCCAACATAAATTGAGAAGTCCTCAACCGTCATTTGATTTAAACTGTGACGTTTCTTTATGTTCTCTGGTAAAACGCTCACCAAAATTTGTCTAATCATCCCCACCAATAATGTGATGATGTCACTTCAAAATCGTACATAATAAATGGGTTTTAAATTGTATAAAATAACCTAGTCCTACACATGTAGTTTATGACTCCGTCTTGAGTTTTTACCCGAAACGTCAAGATTTTTGAAACAAAAAAATCAGAAATATAAAACAACATTTTGCAATTTAATTTTGAATATGCAAAACCAAATGCTTTGAAATCTTGGAAATATTTTAAAGTTATGATAACCATAACAAATATTTAATCAAAATATATTTACTTATCCTATCCAAAAAATAGATGACGTCAGCTCAAAATTGCGCCGAATAGCTCCTGTAAAACCGAATGCTTTGAAATCTTGGAACTGTTTTAAAGTTATTATAAGCATGGTAAATTTTTGATCAAAATGTATTTGCTCATCCTCCCTAATATACTTATATTAATATACGTACAGTTGGCTCCAGACAAAACGGGAACGGTCAAAGTTGCTATTATGACAGAGTACTGTGTAAATTTTTTTAGTTCAAACAGGACTATTTTGAAATAGGTTAGAACAATAATGACATTACAAAAATTTTGTGTCAAAATAGTGACAAAATATTTAACAAATTTTTCAAATTGACAAGTAAGGGGCAGTCGCATTTTGCATTGTACAAAAATTTCATTCCCGTTTTTTCTGGAGCCACCTGTATTGATTAAATCAAGAATTGTAAAAAAGAATACTTTGAAATCTTGCAGATGTTTTAAAGTTATTGTAAGCATGTAACCAAAATATATCTGTTTATTCCCCCCAAGAAAATGATGACGTCATCTCAAAATTTTGCCGAATAAATTCTACCCAAAATGTGCAAAATATGATGAGTTTTTACTTGTGATTGTCATTGCATTCATATTTTTTAGATTTGGCCCCTATTTTCTCAGAGGATTATGTCATTTGCCAAAATCAGTCTAATCTTAGCAAATGTATGTCCAATGACATACCTATAAAAAAATTGGTCTAAAAAGTTTAGACAGTACTTCCCTCGCTGTCGGAAACGTGACGGCTGCATGTCTATTATGTTTTTTTTTTTCGCAGTAGATTTCACTATTTTTTTTGAGTCACCGGGTATATGCAAATCCAAAAAATATGAATGGAATGATAAATTACAAGTACAGACTCATCATATTTTGTATATTCTAGATAGGATTTATTCGGCAAACTTTTGAGCTGACGTCATCAGTTTTTTGTAGAAGATAACCAAATATATTTTCACTAAAGATTTATTATGCTCTTTATAGCCTTAAAACATCTGCAACATTTCAAAACATTCGGGTTAGCAGATTCAAAATTAAATTGCAAAATGTTGTTTTATAATTTTGATTTTTTTTTCCAAAAATCTGGACGTTTTGGGTAAAAACTCAATTCGGGGTCGTAAACTACATGTGTAGGACTATGTTATTTTATATAATTTAAAACCCATTTACTATGTACAATTTTGAAGTGACATCATCGCATTAGTGGTGGGGATGATTAGACAAATTTTGGTTACTGTTTTACCATCTACATGATATTCCTAAAATAAGTGTAAAATTTCAGAACAATCGGTCCAGTACTTTCGGAGATTATCTGTCTAATAAAAATCCGGGACGGCAGACAGACGGACAGACGGACAGACGGACGGACAGACGGACAGACGGACAGACAGACGGAAATGGGAGACCTATTTCTTCGTCTTCTAGGGGTCATGAAAGATCGAGAAAACGTAAAAGTAGAGAGTCGGCCGACGGACTCGATTACAATACTTCCTTTGCTTACGCTCGGGAAGTAAAAAATAGGGCGGAGAGGTGCTAAGATAAGACTTATTTTGGCAAATAACATACCCTCTGAAAAATACGCGGCGGGTGGGCGGGGCTAGTACTTGCTAAGATAAGATTGATTTTGCCTGTATTAATCTTGTTAAATCTGAAAGGTGTTAAATTACAAATTTCCATAGTAACGAGTTAAATTCCTAAATCTGATCGTGTGTTTATTTTTTGTTTCATTCTACTTCAGGAGCGAGGGAAGTTCTGTTGAAACAACTTTCGGACCAATTTTTACTTCCCGAGCGTAAGCAAAGGAAGTATTGTAATCGAGTCCGTCGGCCGACTCTTTACTTTTATATTTTCTCGATCTTTCATGACCCCTAGAAGACGAAGAAAGAAGAAGATCTCCCGTTTCCTTCTGTCTGTCCGTCTGTCTGCCGTCCCGGATTTTTATTAGACAGATAATCTCCGAAAGTACCGAACCGATTGTTGTGAAATTTTGTATTTATATTAGGAATGTCATGTAGATGGTAAAACGCTAACCAAAATTTGTCTAATCACCCCCACCACTAATGTGATGACGTCGCTTCAAAATTGTACATAGTAAATGGGTCTTAAATTGTATAAAATAACATAGTCCTATACATGTAGTTTACGACCCCGAATTGAGTTTTTACCCGACACGTCCAGA